CCATCAGCTCATCCCACAGGAGTGCACTGGGGTACGTAATAAGGATGGGATGGACCTGTGGCAGAGGGCAGGATGCACAGGACCACCCTCAGCAGCAGGGCAGCTCCAACCCCAAGGAACAATTTAGCTCCTCTTTAGGTCCTTCCCAAATTCATCTGTGGCACTCAGTGCTCCCACACCTACCTCACTGCCTGGGAAGTCAAAGCCAGGCATCACAGAAACTCTTCCCAGGAAAACTGAGTGACGTGCACAAAAAAAGAGGATTAAATTCTCAAGCAAGGTTTGTTATTCATCTCCACTGTTGATCTTTAATTTCAAAGGTGACAATCCCCGCTGGGCTGGGATTTTCATTAACACTCCCTGCCCTTGAGGTCTCCACACACAGCACATTCCTTTGGTGACTGAATGGTATCAGCTGGATCACGACAGTAGGGAGGGGAAAAAAAACCCAAAACCCACACTCTGCATCCTCCCACCTGTACAAAATCTGTAGTAAGAAGCTTGTATCCCATGACTCCCAGTAGCAGCCACAAACACACCTCCAGGTGTAGGGTGATGCTCTGACAACACTCAATTAGAAAATGAAAATTTTCTTGCCATCACAGCTGAGTGGAAAGTCAGCAGTAACGATGAGGAACATACACAAATAAATTAATTATTCAAGCCAGACTTCTCATCACAGGTGCTAATGTGGAGGCTCCAGCAGCTCAGGGCAGAGGCACCTCATCCAGGGGTAAGATGTGCACAGTGGCACAACCAGGACTGTTCCTTCCTGGGATGGAGTCAAAGGCTGGAAGAAGGCAATAAAATTGGTAGACGAAAAATAATGGTATTACCATATGGTACCTAGGGCAGAAGGTAAACTCTTGGCTGTGAGGGTGGTGAGGCCCTGGCACAGGCTGCCCAGGGCAGCTGTGGCTGCTGCATCCCTGGAATTGTCCAAGGCCAGCTTGGGCAGGGCTCAGAGCAAGCTGGAATTGTGGAAGGGAGTAGAACAAGATGGGCTTTAAGGTCCCTTCCAAGCCAAACCATTCCATGATTCTGTGATCCTATACCCAGAGTACAGCCCTACTGGGAGCCCCAGAGGCTGCAGGAGGAGTTCTCAGGTGCTGTCACAACCCAAACCCCCCTGCAAGTCAAGCAGGGAGAAGGGAACACAACCCACAACAACCTGATACACACTGACACTTGCAGCCACCTTCCGTGGGAATGCCACCCTGCAGGGAACAGAGCACAACAGGCAGAGGTCTCATTCTGAAACTGCAAAGGACTTGCACCCTATTGACCACCTGCCCAAGGGCCAAGTGAGGCCAAGGACATGGAGCCAGGAGAGCACACCCGGCTGTGCCTCCTGTCCCCACTGCCACTGATGTCTCTGCCAGCCCAGCAGTGCGGGCCTCAAGGAGAGGCAATGAATGAAGCACCGTGTCCTGTCTTTGACAAACTGCAAACAGGCTTTTCCACATTCACCAGCTCTGTGCTGCAATGGGGTGCAGTCCAGCCAACATCGATTTTGGGGACAATTATCAGCTCCAGCAGCTCTGAGCCTCCTGCTGTTCAACTCTCTGGTGCCACAGATATATCAGCAGAACCCTGCCAGACCAGAATGTAGAGCTGATCCAGCCCACAACACCTCCACCTCTCTCTCCCTCCTGCACACACAACAGCCTGCGACTCTACACAGGAACTTGTCAGGAGTTCAAAGTACAACCTGAGACACCTCATAGATCAGGCAAACCTTACTGCGGTATAAACCGAAAAATCTCCACATTTAAACCTAATCCATATTCAAATTTAACTATAGTAAAAGTCAGAGACAAGAGAATGAACCGTTTTCGGGAAAATTCTCGGGGAAAAAAACTGAGTATCTGCAAGTCTTAAAAACTACACAAGCAGATTTCAGCCCTTGTATCCTTCAGATCTGAGTATGAGTACCGAGGTATGCTTATCAACACCTGAAGTATGGCTGAAAATGCCATCCTCCACCAGCATTAGCCTATTTAAGACCATTAACTCCGGTCTCTCACCCAAATACTTCCTTTTTCCAGGCCTGTATCTTTCGTAGTATCGAAATTAAAATTTTAACACTGTATCCCTGGTCTCTTGACAACCTGGCAGGGGCAAAAAGTGGGGCAGGTACGCGGGAGCCGAGGAGTTAACCAGCGCACAAAAGAGTACACTCACTTCAGCTCTGATTAAGCGGGGCAGTCACAAAAACAGAGGTCAACATCAGAAAATATTTTGTGAGTCATGAGGAGAGATTACTCACCATGCACTATTCAACTTACTCATCACAGTGTGGCACGGCCAGCACGGCTCACCACGGCTTCATTAGGGCACCGTGGCCTCTCCTTTGAGGCGGCGGAAGGCGGGGGAAGGAGCCGCACTTTCAGTTTTGTGTGGAAGCCAGTGGGAGGCTGGAGCTGCACCACCGCCGCCGCTCTCTCTCCTCCCACGGCCCTAATTAGACTCGGAGGGAAATACATGTTTCACATCAGCCTCCCCGGCTCTTTTAGCATCCCAACAAGCGCCGGGTTGTCAGCCGGGCTATTATCCGGACTCAGCAGTCTGGAGAGACCCTACTTTTCCTATTATACACGAAATAAACAGCAACCCAGCAATAAAGAGACACGGTATTAATCCTAGGCGTCCATTAATAGGGGAGACCAGCCTTGTACACAGCAACACCGACGCCGCTAATTTAAGATGTAGTAAGAGCATAAAAATAGCCAAGTTACTCAAGGCAGGGTTACGTCACATCACGGAGCCCGGGCACGCAGCAGGTTCACACTACACAGCCTCGGATGTTGGGAAAGATGACTCCCTGCCACTGCTGCTGCTCTCACCAAAAATAACCAGCCGGGACCGTGAGTTTCCCGTTCCCTTTTCCTACAACTCTCCTTGGAAAACACATCTCCCAGAGTACAACAGGAAGCCACCAGAACGCTGCTAAATAAAACTCATTGAAGTGTGGTGTGGTTTTTTTTTTTCCCCTCCTCTCAGCTATCCCACCTTGCTTCCTCGGAACCACGAGCGGTGAAACTAAGAAATGTTCTGCTTACGTCAAGGCGAGCCGAGCTCTGCCGGCACTCGGGGCCGCGCCAGCGCGGGGAAAGCGCGGCTGCAGTTCAGCAGAGCACGATGTCAGCAGGCCAAGCGCTGCCACGGACACAGGCGTTTGTTTGCAGAGCCCCAGGGCTCCGGCCAGCGCCGGGGCGTGCGTGTGTGCGAGCACGCCTGGGCCGCTGCGCTCCGCTCCCCCGGGCTGCGGGGCGCGCTGCTGCTCGGCTCCAGGTGGAACATCCGTCCACTCGGGAATTACTCTGGAAAAGCTGGCAATGCCAAGCGGACGGTTTAATGGCAGGATGTTTGGGGGTTGTGGTATTTCTCAGTACATGGGGGGGATCGCACCCCCACCACCACCCCCATCCGCTGCATTTCTGATTAACTGAGAAGAAATTCAATTTATTCTGCCATGCTCAAAAACAGCTGGTCGAGTTTTCCCAAATCAACTAAATCCTTATTTCCCATGCCTCAAAACACACGTTTCACCCTTAAAATAAAGGGCGGGGGGGTTGGTTTTTCGGTTTTTAAGCCCGTAGGAATCTCTGTGAACAGACATAAAACCATCCCTCCCTGCCAGAACAATCCCTATCCCGCGTAATCTTTAACCTCCGCTTCACACAACCCGCTCGGGGAGCGGGGTGCAGGGAGGGGGAGACACGAGTTAATATTTGGCGAGGAAAAGCGAACCCGGTCATCGCTTGTACTTTCAGTTTCTGACATTTGAGCGGAGCGCGCGCCCGCCAACACTGACAGAGCTGCCCAAACAGGAAAGGCTGCGTTTAACCAGTGTGTGCTGGGAGACACGACACGCCGGGAACAGCACGCCAGCCTGCATGGAGGATGTTTTGGAAAGGCACGGCTACAGCAGCAGCCCCGAAAGGCAGGCGGCAGATAGGAGCAGGCAGCCGTCTCCCCCTGCCACGAGCGATATATTCCTAATCACTCACACACAAGCGATTGCCAAAGCGAGCAACAACATCAGCAGTATCAGCTGCCCCAGCCTGTGCGTCCCAGCGTGTTCTCGCCGGGAAACGGCTCACGTACAACAGCACAGCCTGGAACGCAGGGATAATCAACAGTGCCTGCGCCAAGTAAACATATAGAGAGACGTTCTGCCTTTACAAACTGTGCTCCGACGGGCTACACGCAGTTAGGGGGAGAAATTGCTCAAGGGTTGATAGGAAGCCTACACAAATCCAAAAATACCCTCCCCGGAGCCTTTCGCCTCTCGTGGGATTGTCACTAATTTGAACATGGACATTGTTATCAAGGTCACACATCGCTCGTCCGGGCTCGGCAGAAAGTCAGGCAAGTTAAGGAAAAACGCCGCTCGGTAGCTAAGCAAGGACAAGTGACATTTTATTTGGAAGCACGAGGACTGCGGCTGGCTCAAATTCTGCTCGGGATAAATAAAAGGGGAGCTCCAAGGGCACGGCTGGAGGGGAACTGGCGGCAGCCCCAGACACCAGCGCTGCCTCCAGACCCAGAACCGCCGCTGGCCGCTGTTTATTCCCACTCTGCGGCTGGTCCTGGGGGTCCCCACGACCACCCGAGGCCATCCATAATTTAAGCGCTATTCCCCCATCCAGAGTCCCTGGATTCCACCCCGCTCGCAGCAGCAGCACCGGTTATTAACCGGTTACACGAGCCCAGCGCGAGGAAAACACGAAAACTTTTCATTAACCAGTCCTCCTCCTCCCCGCCCTTCGGTTTAGTCAACCAATTATAAAATGAAATTGGGGATTTGACTTCCAGGCGAGCAGCGGCAGCACCCGGGGCCGGGGCTCCGGGGGGGTTCCCGCACGGGGGGCGATGATCCCGATGGATCCCGGGCAGGGCCGGCGCTGAGGGATCGCCCGGCGGGTGCCAGGGCCGGGGCAGGGCCGGGGGCGCTGACAGGGCGCGGGGCAGGTGCGGGGCCGGGCCATACTCACGTAGACGGGCAGCGGCCAGGGGTACACGGCGGGCTCGGCTCCCACGGGCGACTTCAGCCGCAGCTCCAGCCTCTCGCCCATGTCGGCAGCCGGAGGACGAGGCGGCGGCGGCCCCGCACCATGCTAGAGGGGCCGGCCGGGGCGGGGTGCGGCGGCCGGGCCGGGCCGGGGGCGTGGGCGCGGTGCGGCGGGCGGGGGGCGGCGGGAGCGGCGGGGAGGGGCGGCCGGTGCCGGGGGGGCGGCGGGTCCCGTCCCTCCCTCTATTGTCGTTGGCGGCTCGCGGGGCTCTCGGGCGCCGCCGCCATCTTGGGCCGGCGTGAGGCGAAGCACAATGAGGCGCCGGGGCCGGGCCGGGCCGGGCCCGAGCGACGCGACAGACGCGGGGAGGGGGCGGGCGGGGAGAGGGGCGGGCGCGGCCCCGCGGTCCCTCCCCCCTTCCCTTCCCTTCCCTCCCTCCCTCCCCCCTGTCCTCAGCTGCCCCCGCACCGCGCGCGCTCCCGCGCCCCTTCGCGCGCGCGCACCCGCAGCCCCCCCCCGCCTCCTGTCCGCGCGCGGGATGCGGGCGGGGGTCGAGCGCGGAGGGGACGGGGACCGAGACCCCCGGACAGGGCGGTGTGACACGGGGATGGCACGCGAGAGCAGGACGGGCTGCGGTGTGACAC